CAAAACCACTGCATTTTTTTGCAAGCATTCCCTGTGCTGCATTAGGGGCGTGTGGCTACATCACTGTTTGACATCTGTTTTTTTTTTGTTTAGCTTAGTTTTGTTTTTGAGACAGTCTCTCTGTCACCAGGGTACAGTGCAGTGGTGTGATCTCAGATCACTGCAGTGTCCTCCTACTCCATTCAAGCAATTCTCCTGCCTGAAACCCTTGAGTAGCTGGACGAAAGTCTCTGACCACCACCACACCCACCTTTTTTGTAGGTTTAAGTAGAGCCGGGTTCACCATGTTGGCCAGGATGGTCTCAATCTCTTGCCCTCATGACATGCCCCCTCAGCCTTCGAATGTGCTGGGATTACATGTTTGAGGCACCGTTTTCAGCCTGCTATCTGGTTTTCTTATGTCACCGAGTGAAAACAAGACCTGTGCCAACAGGACCCAGCATGATGTAATCCTCATGGTGTTTCTTTTTGTCTTATTGCAGGAGAAGCCTGCGGCCAAGTATCACCACCGTACGTATTCTGTTTCTTTTAAACCGTTACTGAGACGTAGTTGACATGCAAACCAATTCACCCATTTAAAGTAGGTTCCTTTCTGTATTAACTGGTTCTTCAAATGACGATTTCACATTGATGAGGTTTCCCTAGCTAGGAAGCCCAGGCTCTTTCGTTTGTTTCTGCCCCTCTTCTTTTTGTTTCTTCAGCACCAAGGAGAATGGTCCAGCAGCAGCTCGGTCCGTGTGTGTCAAATGCCCAGCTCCATACACTCCAGCCCCGTCCAATTTTCCCAATGCTCCTTGTGAGATTCCTCAGCAGCACCAGTGCACTGACTGTCACTCTGTGTTCTCTTAGGTCCTGTTGAGGTTTTACAGGACCTCGTCCTAGAAGACATAGAGGATGATGAGATGCCCCCTGATGTGGTAAGATGCATTTCTTAGTCTTGATGAGAAATATTTCTTCCTGGTGTCTCTGGAATATCAGGTGAATATCATTTTTGACTGCCATTGTGAATGAGACCTCAGTTGTCATGGACTCTAGCGAGCAGTCAGTGGAGTTTCTGACCAACTGAGGCCTGATTGACGATGTCAGTCAAAAGATGGCATAACTCACAATCTGGTCGTGGGCATATTTCTCAGTAGCAACATTTTCTTCTTGAAAAGTAATTTCCTTTTTTTCAGCCAGCATAGATACTTGCTAAATATTCCAAACCCACTGCATTTTCTGGAGGTAATCCCCTGTGCTCCATTAGGGGCATGTGGCTTCATCACTGTTTGACATTTGTTTTTTTTTGTTTAGCTTAGTTTTGTTTTTGAGACAGAGTCTCTCTGTCACCAGGGTCCAGTGCAGTGGTGTGATCTCAGATCACTGCAGCGTCATCCTACTGCATTCAAGCAATTCTCCTGCCTCAAACTCTTGAGTAGCTGGACTGAAGTCTCTCACCACCACCCCACCCACCTTTCTTGTAGTTTTTAGCAGAGCCGGGTTCACCATGTTGGCCAGGATGGTCTCAATCTTTTGCCCTCATGATCTGCCCGACTCAGCCTCCGAATGTGCTGGGATTACATGCGTGAGGCACCGTTTTCAGCCTGCCATCTGGTTTTCTTATGTCACCCAGTGAATACAAGACCTGTGCCAACAGGACCCAGCATGATGTAATCCTCATGGTGTTTCTTTTTGTCTCATTGCAGGAGAAGCCTGCGGCCAAGTATCACCACCGTACGTATTCTGTTTCTTTTAAACAGTTACAGAGACGTAGTTGACATGCAAACCAATTCACCCATTTAAAGTAGGTTCCTTTCTATTATTAACTGGTTCTTCAAATGACGATTTCACATTGATGAGGTTGCCCTAGCTAGGTAGCCAAGGCTCTTTCGTTTGTTTCTGCCCCTCTTCTTTTTGTTCCTTCAGCACCAAGGATAATGGTCCAGCAGCAGCTCGGTCCATGCGTGTCAAATGCCCAGCTCTATACACTCCAGTCCCGTCCACATTTCCCAATGTGGGAAATTCCCTTGTGAGATTCCTCAGCAATACTAGTGCACTGACTGTCACTCTGTGTTCTCTTAGGTCCTGTTGAGGTTTTACAGGACCTCGTCCTAGAAGACATAGAGGACGAAGAGATGCCCCCTGCTGTGGTAAGATGCATTTCTTAGTCTCGAAGAGAAATATTTCTTCCTGGGGCCTCTGGAATATCAAGTGAATATCATTTTTGACTGCCATTGTGATGAGAGCTTAGTTGTCATGGACTCTAGCGAGCAGTCAGTGGAGTTTCTGACCAACTGAGGCCTGATTGACGATGTCAGTCAAAAGATGGCATAACCCACAATCTGGTCGTGGGCATATTTCTCAGTAGCAACATTTTCTTCTTGAAAAGCAATTTCGTATTTTTTAGCCAGCATAGATACTTGCTAAATATTCCAAAACCACTGCATTTTTTTGCAAGCATTCCCTGTGCTGCATTAGGGGCGTGTGGCTACATCACTGTTTGACATCTGTTTTTTTTTGTTTAGCTTACTTTTGTTTTTGAGACAGTCTCTCTGTCACCAGGGTACAGTGCAGTGGTGTGATCTCAGATCACTGCAGCGTCCTCCTACTGCATTCAAGCAATTCTCCTGCCTGAAACCCTTGAGTAGCTGGACGAAAGTCTCTGACCACCACCACACCCACCTTTTTTGTAGGTTTAAGTAGAGCCGGGCTCACCATGTTGGCCAGGATGGTCTCAATCTCTTGCCCTCATGACATGCCTCCTCAGCCTTCGAATGTGCTGGGATTACATGTTTGAGGCACCGTTTTCAGCCTGCTATCTGGTTTTCTTATGTCACCGAGTGAAAACAAGACCTGTGCCAACAGGACCCAGCATGATGTAATCCTCATGGTGTTTCTTTTTGTCTTATTGCAGGAGAAGCCTGCGGCCAAGTATCACCACCGTACGTATTCTGTTTCTTTTAAACCGTTACTGAGACGTAGTTGACATGCAAACCAATTCACCCATTTAAAGTAGGTTTCTTTCTGTATTAAGTGGTTCTTCAAATGACGATTTCACATTGATGAGGTTTCCCTAGCTAGGAAGCCCAGGCTCTTTCGTTTGTTTCTGCCCCTCTTCTTTTTGTTTCTTCAGCACCAAGGAGAATGGTCCAGCAGCAGCTCGGTCCATGCGTGTCAAATGCCCAGCTCCATACACTCCAGCCCCGTCCAATTTTCCCAATGCTCCTTGTGAGATTCCTCAGCAGCACCAGTGCACTGACTGTCACTCTGTGTTCTCTTAGGTCCTGTTGAGGTTTTACAGGACCTCGTCCTAGAAGACATAGAGGACGATGAGATGCCCCCTGATGTGGTAAGATGCATTTCTTAGTCTTGATGAGAAATATTTCTTCCTGGTGTCTCTGGAACATCAGGTGAATATCATTTTTGACTGCCATTGTGAATGAGACCTCAGTTGTCATGGACTCTAGCGAGCAGTCAGTGGAGTTTCTGACCAACTGAGGCCTGATTGACGATGTTAGTCAAAAGATGGCATAACTCACAATCTGGTCATGGGCATATTTCTCAGTAGCAACATTTTCTTCTTGAAAAGTAATTTCGTATTTTTCAGCCAGCATAGACAGTTGCTAAATATTCCAAAACCACTGCATTTTTTGCACACATCCCCTGTGCTCCATTAGGGGCATGTGGCTTCATCACTGTTTGACATCTGTTTTTTTTTATCTTAGTTTTGTTTTTGAGACAGAGTCTCTCTGTCACCAGCGTTCAGTGCAGTGGTGTGATCTCAGATCACTGCAGCGTCCTCCTACTGCATTTAAGCAATTCTCCTGCCTGAAACTCTTGAGTAGCTGGACTAAAGTCTCTGACCACCACCACACCCACCTTTTTTATAGGTTTAAGTAGAGCCGGGTTCACCATGTTGGCCAGGATGATCTCAATCTCTTGCCCTCATGATCTGCCCGCCTCAGCCTCCCAACGTGCTGGGATTACCTGCGTGAGGCACAGTTTTCAGCCTGCCATCTGGTTTTCTTATGTCAGTAAGTGAATACAAGACCTGTGCCAACAGGACCCAGCATGATGTAATCCTCATGGTGTTTCTTTTTGTCTTATTGCAGGAGAAGCCTGCGGCCCAGTATCACCACCGTACGTAATCTGTTTCTTTTAAACAGTTACTGAGACCTAGTTGACATGGAAACCAATTCACACATTTAAAGTAGGTTCCTTTCTGTATTAACTGGTTCTTCGAATGACGATTTCACATTGATGAGGTTGCCCTTGCTAGGAAGCCAAGGCTCTTTCGTTTGTTTCTGCCCCTCTTCTTTTTGTTCCTTCAGCATCAAGGAGAATGGTCCAGCAGCAGCTCGGTCCATGCGTGTCAAATGCCCAGCTCCATACACTCCAGCCCCGTGCACAATTCCCAGTGCTCCTTCTGATGTTCCTCAGCAGCACCAGTGCACTGACTTTCACTCTGTGTTCTCCTAGGTCCTGTTGAGGTCTTACAGGACCTCATTCTAGAAGACATAGAGGACTATTAGATGCCCCCTGATGTGGTAAGATGCATTTCTTTGTCTCGAAGAGAAATTTTTCTTCCTGGGGACTCTGGAATATCAAGTGAATATCATTTTTGACTGCCATTGTGAATGAGACCTCAGTTGTCATGGACTCTAGCGAGCACTCAGTGAAGTTTCTGACCAACTGAGGCCTGATTGACGATGTCAGTCAGTAGATGGCCTAACTTACACTCTCGTCGTGGGCATGTTTCTTAGTAGTCACTTTTGTTTTTTGAAAAACAATTTTGTGTTTGCCAACTTACATCACCACTTTCCAAATTTCCAACACACCCCACTGTCTTTTCCAGAAGCATCTCCTATGCTTCATTTAGGGACCAATGATGTGGTTTTCTAATGTCACCATGTGAAAAGACCTGCACCCACAGCACCCTGCATGATATGATGCTTACCATGTTTTTTGTGTTCTTCTCTTGTTGCAGGACCCCGTGACAGCCCCAAATGACCTCCGTAAGTATTTTTTTTTTAAACTGCCTTATCGTCACAGAGTTGATATGCAAATCAATTCACTTATTTAAAGTGGGTGATGTAGTGTTTTTACTATATTTACAGGGTTGTGCAGCCATTGTCACAATCTAAGTTTAGAATCTATTCTTTCCCCCTCAGAGAAACCCTATCGCCATTAGTAGTCACTTCTCTTTTTTTTTCTAGGCCCTTACAGCCACTAAGCCACTTTCTTTTACTCTAGATTTGCCTTCTCTGGCAATTTCTTTTTTAATTTAAATTTGATTTTAATTTTTGGGATGCATGTGCAGGATGTGCAGCTTTGTTACATAGCTAAAATTGTGGCATGGTTTGCTCCACCTGTCAACCCATCACCTAGGTATTAATCTTCACATATATTAGCTCTTTATTCTGATGCTCTCCTGTCCACTTCCCTCACAGTGTGTGTTGTTCCCCTCTCTAACATTTTACATATTTTAGTATCACTTTCTTTCTAATGGCAAATGTAATTGATAAGTCTGGGGGGATTTTCTTGCTTGCTTTTGTCTGGAGAACCTTCCTAGCTTCAGGTTCCTGATAGGTGTGAGGATCTGGGGCGTGCTGTGAGAAACAGTTGTGTCCATGAAGAACTCGGCTCTGAGACAGGAGAATCTCCATCATGCCCTATTGATGCTACTGTTGAAATAGGTTTTTGTTTCCTTCTGAAAACCTTCACACACACAGAGCCAAGGTAGCTGCTTTAAGTCATAATGAAGGTCACGTGGACCACATGATGGTTTGAGAGGTTTTTTTGGAGCATTCATTCTGTGGAAATGAATTGCTTTTCAGTAAAATTTGATTGTCCTATATGTGTCAGTATTTTCCCAGTGGAACAAAAGAATGAAACTGCTTGATTGTGCAGTGTCACTTGTTCACCCCAGAAGTGATTTTCTCATGACCAGATTGTCCTAGACATCTGTAATTTCTGGACGAAGCTTTCCATTGGTTCTGCAGGGGTGCTGCTGTGTGTGAGTCAAGGAAAATATCAGTTTTACCAACATTGAGGTTCTCAGAATTCATGGACGCCTGCTTCGTGGGCTCCATGGGAGAGAGCAAGGGAGAGCCTCTTGCTAGACCTGAAGGGGAACATGATTTAGAGGATCAGAGGGAAAGAAAATGAGAATATTCGGGACATTGTTAAAAGAGAATGTCAAGATTGCAATGTTAGAGGCATCAGTTCAGCATCATCACCAGGGCCCAGGCAGGATATGAGACCCCTTCTGGGGAAGAGTGAGTAGGACTTGGCCTTCCTCTCCGTCGAAAGCTTGGTGTGAACATCACCGTAAATGCCTTGAGAAAGGAGCTTCCTTCCTGACTCATGTCTTCTCCATCTATTTGTGTGATGCTGGCAATGATACCAGCAGAGTGTCATTGCGGAGAGGGGCAGAACAGGAATCAGGTCCCCATTTTTCTGACATAGGACAGGACACGAGTCAGTAGGAATGGACCTCAGGGTTAGACCAGACACAGAGAGGTCCCAGGACTGATCTTCCTGGGGCTGAGACAGACAAGTTTTTATTTGTCACCTCTTCCGGAAACCTCCTGAGGAATGATTCTTCAGTAGACCCTGTTGGCCAAGGGTCTTCTGGCCCAGAAATGCTTTTCAACTGGACAGAGTCTTCCAGCTCTTGGCCTGGGCAGCTGCAGCACTCCAAAGTAGCAGGGCAGGTGGGGGAGGGACATGAGTTCCATTGCAGGGTGATCTCAGCAAAGGGCTGGGGACTGATCCCAGACTCCAGGTCATCCTTGCAACTTTTCTGTACAATCCATAACATCTCAGTTTCCACTTATTTTGGAGATGGTTTAAAGTCTTTCATCTCAAAGTCTGAGTCTTCCCACAGGTGAATAGAGGAACCCTGTCTACGGGTATTTACTAGCAGGGCAGTGACTGTGTCTTTTTCATTTGTCCTTACTACAGAGCTCAGTCCAGGAACAGAGACATTAGGCTCCATGGATGTTTTAATGAAAACACCCCTGGGATGAGCTCTGTCACCCCTGGGCTGGGATCTAGTGCAAGTGTGGAAAGGTTTTTTTTCTCAGCCTGTCCAGCCTGTTGAACCACACACTGATCCTGGAGCCTGCCCAGCTTCTGAGTCAGGGTCTCTGGAGATTAAGGTGAGCTCCTGAGGACAGTGAGACGTCCCCACCCCTCTGCTCTTGCTGCTCTGATCTAGTCTAGACTGGGTGCGTAGGGCCACGCTCTTCCCCTGGGTGCAAGTGTATTTCTACTGGAATCTCTCTGGACCTGGATGTTGTCCTCACTGTCCTATCCCCAGCCACACACAGTGACGGGCCCTTGTGCAGATGCCCAGGAAGTAACCATAAGTGGTGGTGGGATCAGAGCAGCAAACGATTCTGCAAAAAACACCAGGAGAGGGGAGTCAGGTCTTCCTTATGTCTGGATCTCTGGAGCTGTCCCGTCTAGTGTGCTTCTCAGTCATATACATGCCTCTTTTTAGTTAAATAAACAAATATATACAATGAAATATTCAAAACCTCATCACAACAGCCACCATGCAATGGCCCAGCAGCCATACATCAGAGAGCATTTCCATCCCCCACAGAATGCTGTCTTGCATGTCTACTGTGAGCCTGGCCCAGGGTCTGATTGTTGGACTCATGTCACTCAAAGCGTGCACATCAAAGTTGGGATCTCAGGGTTGTGGGATTGGAGGTGAGACCTATCATGGGCCAGTGGAAGAAAAAAATTGAAAGGTGATTCCTTCCACTTCTCTTTCTTACTTGAAGGCTGGAAAGCGTAAGCAATGCCTTGTTGAAGACCTCTGGCTCCACAGAGCCTGGAGGGAGTCTGAGAACATGGAGGAAAGCTCAGGGTGATCTCGTGTAATCCAGTGTGACCTCACCTGGAGTAGGAGGGTGGGTGAGTCACTCTCTGAAATAACTTCTTGCTGAGATTTGTGTCTCTAAAGATTGGCCAGTGGACACCATCCATGAGGGAAGCTGCAATAGGATAATTTCTGCAGGTAGAAAATGATACCCTAGGCCGGGTGCGGTGCAGAAGATGGCGTTACACTATTTCCTGTCTTCAAAAACTAGGCTTCCGTTGTTCTCTAAGTTGATATTTATAAGTTAAGTTCTGGACCTTTTATTCACAGATTGCTAAAAGTTGTGCAGGAAACTCCATAGGATAAAATGTGCTGATAGCACATAATTCTGTCCATGCTATGCTATGGATGACGTTTTTATCTTTGGAGGATCCTCATTCTACATAATAAGATGCAAAACTAAGTGGGCACCCTCTATCCAGTCTGGGGCACTTCATTAAAGAACTGAGTTTGCTGCTGTCTGTAATTTGCTTTTCTTCATGAGACCTTTGAACCACCTAAATATTGCCAGCACCCCCTTTTGGGACCCTGACATCTGAGAGGGTGAAATGGCACAAGTGCAGACATCCCTGGTTCCTCCCTGAAGTTTCCCTCCTCTAATCATCTTCCTTAAGGGAAGATGCTGATGACTGCTCTGACTGCTAATGACTTATTTAGACCTCTCCAGGTTTGGACTGTCATACATAGAATAAGTCAATATGTGACTCTCGGTGTCTGGCTTTTTTGCTCACATTATGATTTGAAATTCACTCATGTTCGTAAGTGTAACTGGCTTTGGAATAATACTGGCACTCAGTTCTGTGAAGTAGATTGTTAGAAGGGAACAAATGTTTTATTGTCATGAATAGTGCCAAATATTTTTCAAAATGGTGATGCTAATTCATGTTCCTGTAGCAGCATATGTGAGGAGACATTTCTCCAAATCCTTGTGCACTTTTAGTTTTATCTCTCCCTAAAAATTCCATCACTGTGGTTAATCTTTCAATTGTATAGCATCTTACTTAAAATTTTTCACCAAAAATTTTGTTTTAATCTAATGATGCAGGCCGGTAGGTTTGTGTATGCCCGTCTGACCCCAGCCATGTAAGTAATCATTGATCAAAATGTCACTGTGCCACATGACTGTACTTGATAACAGCTGCTTAAGTTATTAAAATGGAAAGGATAACTGATAGACATTTGAGTCATGGATACTATGTGGTCACTTCTCTATGTTGCCTCTTTGAAGCATCACAATCACTTTGAGGCATAATTAGTTTGGTTCTATTCATTATACAGATGAGGAATGTGAGTCTCAGTTAAGTAAATTATCACAAGACATGCACACAGCTGGATCTCTCTAACACCAAAGGCTAATCTCTAAACGAACATGCTGCACTGCCTGTAGTGGCGAAGTAGACTTGCCATAAAGTGAAGTTTCCTTCCACAGCTGGGCATGTGAGCTTAGCAGGGTTGCTGTGACCCATTGCTTTATGGGTTTGAGATTGGTGTTGCAGAAACCCAGATGGAGAAGCTTTTGGCTGAGGGAGTGAAAAATGACTGAAAGGATAGATGAGTGCGTTTGAAGGATCATGCTTTCATAGAGCATGTTGTTGAGCCCCTTGAAATAAAAACAGATACAATCAAACAGAACCACCCAGTCCTCAGTTGTACCATTCGGTAAGCATCAGCACGCCATGAAGTGTGCTCACTGCTGTGTTGTGGGGACATAAAATCTATCCCAGGCTTCTGTGGCCACCCATTCTGTCCTGTCCAATGAACCTCTTTTCTGTTCCGTTGGTCTCCATCTCTGTTTCAGTACCAGTACCATGCTGTTTTGATTACTGTAGCAGCTGACTAAGTTTGTGATCAGGTTTTCAGTATTCATTGAGAGAAACAACCTTTTGCAAACAATCCACAGCACAATCTGCCCCTCATAAAGCTTTGTTTCTGTGTTGCAGGTAGTGCCGGTGTTCCATCTGAAGTGTGACTCTGGTAAGTATTCTGGAATTATTGTCAAGAAAAAAAGCTGGCTTCAATGTGCAGTGCCACCCTGATTCTGGGATTGTGATAGGAATAAGCATAGTGAAAGTGTTTCTTAGAAACCTGAGTTCCCCGGGGAAAAATCATGGCCAAATTTTGAGGCAGCAGCTGTGCTCCCTTTTGGCTGGTACTGAGTTGGGTGCTTGAGGATTGGTGGTGTGTTGTGTGAGGCTGCATCATGTGATGTGAATGTGTGTGCTTCTATGCAGGTGAGGCCGTGTGTTTTCTCAGGAGAGATTTCCCATTTACACAGCCCATTCTCCAGTGTCCACTTTTAAAGAATAAAATCCAGCCCCACTCTACTCTGTCTGTACAGTGACTCCTCCACCCTCACCAGAGCCATCCCTGGGTCTGGTTTATTATCCTCACAGCTCAGGTGGAGAACCTGAAGGGCCAGGGGGTGGCCCCAGCTCCTGAGTTCCTGAATGAAAATGAAAACAAATCCAGGAGTGTGGGCCAGTGCTGACACTGGCAACTACTGGCATGCTCTCAGTCATGGGGTGTTCGCCACCATGCAGGGAGTACAGCATTCGTGTATAAGCCCTAAGGAAGTCCCAGACACTGCCCGTCGTTATAAAGTGGCCTCCATGGTCACACAACCCAGGGCAGTTACAGGTACATCTCCCCTGTAATCATCAGTGTGAAAAGCACAAAGATCCCCAGGTGTTTGGGTCGGCTCACAGATCCTTTTTTGTTTCGTTTTTACGTTCAGGGGAACCTGTGCAGGATGAGCAGGTTTGGTACATAACATAAACGTGTGTCAGGAGGGTTTGTTGTACAGGTTATTTTATCATCCACATATTAAGCCTAATATCAGTTATTTTCCTGACCTTTTCCCTCCTCCCACCGTCCACCCTCCAGCAGGCCCCAAGCTCACAAATTCTAAGAGGGGTGGGGGACCACACTGGCTAATGCAGCCCACTTCAGTTGTGAAGTTAATTTGCTCAGCAATTGGCCAAAGCATATAAGGATCGGTGATGTCTTTTAGTAGATTTAGTAATACCTTCCCAAGCCCTAAAATGCTCAAACCCTGCCAGCTGAAAATGATGAGAGGGACAGGTACAAACTCTGTGCAGCACTTGGTTGGTAGCCTGGTTTCCATCCCCTTGTGGCAACTCTTGTGCATGCATGTTAAAGATCCTCAGCCTCAACCCAAGCTTCCTCCATGAGAAGCCCTCTCACTATTGGCTGGCTACTGCAGCATATGGACACCAGCCAAAGTGAAACAAAACGTTGCTTCAAAACAAGTTATGTATTCATAATGTCCACTCATTGTTTTATAGTCTCTGCTCTCTCTGTGGTTATGTCTTCCTATTAATTTCTGATACTAATTTTGTGATTTTCCTTTTTTCTTGATAAATGTCACTAATGTCTTGTGCACTAGTTTTTTCTTGAAAACAACTGTTGGCTTTGATCCACAGCTGAATCATCATCCATGGCTGGGACAACAGGGGCATATCCACAAATGAGCATCATCCACAGCTGGGGCATCATCCATGCCTGGGGTATCATCCACGCCTGGGGCATCATCCACAGATGGGCATCATCCACGCCTGGAGTATCATCCACGCCTGGAGCATCATCCACACCTGGAGCATCATCCACTGCTGTGGCATCCACAGCTGGTGCATCATTCACTGCTGTGGCATCATCCACAGCTGGTGCATCGTCCATTGCTGGGGCATCATCCACGCCTGGGGCATCATCCATTGCTGTGGCATCATCCACCCCTGGGACATCATCCACTGCTGGGGCATCACCCACTGCTGGGGCATCATCCAAGCCTGGGGCATCATCCACTGCTGGGACATCATCCACTGCTGGGGCATCATCCCCTGCTGCAGCATCATCCACTGCTGGGACATCACGCCTGGGACATCATCCACTGCTGTGGCATCCACAGATGGGCATCTTCCACACCTGTAGCATCATCCACTGCTGCAGCATTATCCACAGCTGGGGCATCATCCACTGCTGGGGCATCATCCACTCCTGGGGCGTCATCCACTGCTGTGGCATCATCCATGCCTGGGGCATCATCCATTGCTGTGGCATCATCCACCCCTGGGACATCATCCACTGCTGGGGCATCACCCACTGCTGGGGCATCATCCAAGCCTGGGGCATCATCCACTGCTGGGACATCATCCACTGCTGGGGCATCATCCACTGCTGTGGCATCATTTACAGATGGGCATCATCCATGCCTGGAGCATCCACTGCTGGGGCATCATCCACACCTGGGGCATCATCCACTGCTGTGGCATCATTTACAGATGGGCATCATCCATGCCTGGAGCATCCACTGCTGGGGCATCATCCACGCCTGGGGCATCATCCACTGCTGGGGCATCATCCACTGCTGTGGCATCCACAGATGGGCATCATCCACTCCTGGGGCATCATCCACAGATGGGCATCATCCATGCCTGGAGCATCATCCACTGCTGGTACATCACCCACGCCTGGGGCATCATCCACTGCTGTGGCATCATCCACAGATGGGCATCATCTACTCCTGGGGCATCATCCACTGCTGTGGCATCCACAGATGGGGCATCATCCATACCTGGGGCATCATCCACTACTGGGGCATCATCCACTGCTGTGGCATCATCCACAACTGGGGCATCATCCACACCTTGGGTATTGACTGCTGGGGCATCATCCATGTCTAGGGCATCCATTGCGGTGGCATCATCCACCCCTGGGACATCATCCAATGCTGGGGCATCACCGACTTCTGGGGCATCATCTATGCCTGGGGCATCATCCATGCCTGGGGCATCCACTGCTGGGGCATCATCCACTGCTGCGGCATCATCCACAGATGGGCATCATCCATGCCTGGAGTATCATCCACTGCTGGGGCATCATCCACTGCTGCGGCATCATTCACACATGTGCATAATCCACTACTGGGGCATCATTCACTGCTGTGGCATCATTCACTGCTGTGGCATCCACAGATGGGCATCATCCATGCCTGGAGCATCATCCACTGCTGGGACATTATCCATGCCTGGGGCATCTTTCACTGCTGTGGCATCATCCACAGATGGGCATCATTCACTCCTGGGGCATCCACTGCTATGGCATCATCCACAGATGGGCATCATCCACACCTGGAGCATCATCCACTTTTGTGGCATCCTCCACACCTGGGGCATCCACTGCTGGGACATCATCCAGAGCTGGGGCATCATTTACTGCTGGGGCATCATCCACGCCTGGGGCATCATCCACTGCTGCGGCATCCACAGATGGGCATCATCCATGCCTGGAGCATCATCCACTGCTGGACATCATCCACACCTGGGGCATCCACTGCTGGGACATCATCCAGAGCTGGGGCATCATTTACTGCTGGGGCATCATCCACGCCTGGGGCATCATCCACTGCTGCGGCATCCACAGATGGGCATCATCCATGCCTGGGGCATCATCCACTGCTGTGGCATTCACAGATGGGCATCATCCATGCTTGGAGCATCATCCACGTCTGGAGCATCCACTGCTGTGGCATCATCCACTGGTGGGACATCATCCACACCTGGGGCATCCACTGCTGGGACATCACACCTGGGGCATCATCCACTGCTGTGGCATCCACAGATGGGCATCATCCACGCTTGGAGCATCATTCACGTCTGGGGCATTATCCACTGCTGGGACATCATCCACACCTGGGGCATCCACTGCTGGGGCATCATCCATGCCTGGGGCATCATCCACACCTCTGGTAGCTCTGCAGGAAGGTTGCCCATTTCACCCTTGCTTTCTCCAGGTTCCAGAGGCTCCCACTTAAAGGAGCATCTCTCCCCACTCTGCCTCACTCAACACCAGCTCTCCTGTACCTACTGCTAAATGCTTTCTTCCACCTTCACCTCATTGGATTCACGACTCTGGAAAATAGTCAAAAATTATAAAAAGGTGGGAGTGGGGGTGATCTGGAAATCCCTGCTATAATATTTTTAAAGGAATCTACTGGAAACTATTTATGTTTTAAATAAAGCCATCCCTTACTTGGCACTAGAATATCAAGCCATTCATGTTTTTAACAGAATTTGAGATATAATTCAAATGTTTTTTATATGAACATATGTGTGTATGTGTATATATACAACTATATACATGTGTGTATGTATATATACACAGTTGTATATATATGCACATATACATGTATATATGTATATAGTTGTATATATACAGACATGCATATATGTATAGTTGTTTTAGGACACAAAAATACTGATCCTGAGAAAAAAGCATTGGTCTACATAAATATTGAAACTATCTGGCATAGCAAAAGACCCCTTTAAGAACATGACTTAGCACAGAGCGACAGAAAATACAGCGTGTACATGTGAAGAGTGTGTCGTATTGGCCTTGGCTGTCAACATTGCCAGTGTTGCTGCTGTCCTCAGTGCAGACAGCTGTGGCATTTGTTCAGAACCTTCGGATGCTGAGGGTGGCTGAGTCGGCCCTGTCTGGGCCACAGACCCTAAATTGGACTGAAGGGAGGGACTGGTTCAGAATCAGCATAGTGAGGATGGTGGGTGTGTGGAGCAGAGCTGAGTGTGGATCCCTGTCCCCAGGTAAGGTGCCCCCTCTTCTGTGCAGTGAGTGAGGGTAAAGACAGGAGCCCTGGGTATGGTTGAGATGCGATTCTGCTTTGTGACACTGCTGTGGAGCCTGAGCTTTCCGAAGCCGCCTTACATCTTCCAAAACCTTCACAGGAGCAGAGCCACTGCATTTAAATAAGAGCTGCTACCCGCCTGTTCTGGGCCCCTCTGCCCTGAGTTCTCACAGCTGACCTGGTGGGGTGAAGGTGTGTCCTAGCAGGTCAGTGTTGCCACCCAAATCTACCCAGTGGGCTCCCTGATGACCAAACTCCCATGGAGGCTCTGAGTCATTTTCCAGCTGGGAGAGGCCATCTCTGGAGTGTCCTTCACTGTCCCACAGTGCCCTCAGACCCCAAAGCCTTTCTGCCTCTGACACACCAGGGCATCTCAGGTGGAGAGCCTTGGCTGTCCTGATCCTCCTTCTAAAGCTCACAATGTCAGAGAGGGGCCAGGGCAGCCGGGAATCCTAAATAAAGGGGACTTGGGTTGAAGGGAGGTCACTTGTTCCTGCCAGCTGTGCCAGCAGAGCATGGGTGGCACTTTCTATCTGTCGGTGTTTCCTGGGACCCAGAATCACAGAGTTTACTCACACTATTAACACACTCATCAGCCACCTAAAGGCCTCTCTTTCATATTTTTCCCTATCACCATTTCAACTCATGTTTTCCTCCGTCAGTCATCAACTCAAGTGTAAATCATGTGGTTCCACTTCAACTTTTAAATCATCTCTACAGATACTTAAAGAATTCATAGTGTGTTTCCATTTCTTAAGCAAATAATTGTTTTTCTCTTTAGATTTCATCTGGTTTATTTTTTGTTTTTCTGAGATTCTGCATCTCAAAAGTAAAAAAAAAAAAAAAAAGCCTAAATCTACCTTGCCACCTTCCAGTGGCCCCAAAGTATTCCAAGGCGGTACTTCTCCCACTATCTCCTCTTTAAATAAGGGGTGATTATAACAATGTTGAGGGAAGAGACTGAATATTCTCATTCATTGTTTTTCCTTCCTCGTCTGTAATAGATTATTCCTTAAATTTGCCAGATTTGTAGACCAAAATTTCAGAAATATTTCTTTTATTAAAAACTTCCTGGCTGGGCGTGGTGGCTCACACCTGTAATTCCAGCACTTTGGGAGACTGCCGCAGGCGAATCACGAGGTCGGGAGTTCAAGACCAGCCTGAATAACAAGGTGAAACCCCGTCTTTACTAAAAATACACATATTAGCCAGGTGTGGTGGTGCGTGCCTGTAATCTCAGCTACTCAAAAGGCTAAGGCAGGAGAATCCCTTAAACCTGGGAGGCAGAGCTTGCACCACTGCCATTTAGCCCGGGCAACAGAGTGAGACCCTATCTCAAAAAAAAAAACCTCCCTGACTCATTATGATTCACCCATGTTTTTTGCTGTCTACTATAGGTGAAAGTATGAAGAACAAGAAAATAAATGGCCAAAAAGTAGCAGCAGGCCAGGCACAGTGACTCATGTCTGTATTCACAGCACCTTGGGAGGTGGAGGTGGGCAAATGACTTAAGGTCGGGAGTTAAACACCAGCTTGGTCAACATGGTAAAACCCTATCTCTGGCCGGGCGTGGTGGCTCACTCTGGAAATCCAAGCACACAACCATCGCCGCCATCTGTCTCCATGGCTCTTTTCTTTCTTTCTTTTCTTCTTTTTGAGATGGAGTTTCGCTCTTGTTACCCAGGCTGGAGTGCAATGGCGCAATCTCGGCTCCTGGGTTCAAGCAATTCTATTGCCTCAGCCTCCCGAGTAGCTGGGACTACAGGCACGCGCCACCATACCCAGCTAATTTTTGTACTTTTTTTTTTGAGATGGAGTTCTTGGTTCTTACCCAGGCTGGAGTGCAATGGCGTGATCTCAGCTCACCGCAACCTCCACCTCCTGGGTTCAAGCAATTCTTCTGCCTCAGCATCCCGAGTAGCTGGGACTACAGGTGCCTGCCACCATGCCCAGCTAATTTTGTACTATTTTTTTTTTTGAGACGGAGTTTCGCTCTTGTTACCCAGGCTGCAGTGCAATGGCGCGATCTCGGCTCATCGCAACCTCTGCCATCAGGGTTCAAGCAATTCTCTTGCCTCAGCCTCTCGAGTAACTGGGAATACAGGCACGCGCCAGCATGTCCAGATAATTTTTGAATTTTTTTTTTTTGAGACGGAGTTTCGCTTTTTTTACCCAGGCTGGAGTGCAATGGCGCGATCTCGGCTCACTGCAACCTCCGCCTTTTGGGTTCAAGCAATTCTTCTGCCTCAGCATCCTGAGTAGCTGGGACTACAGGCGCCTGCCACCATGCCCAGCTAATTTTTGTACTATTTTTTTTTTTTTTTTTTGAGACAAGAGTTTCGCTCTCATTACCCAGACTGGCGTGCAATGGCGTGATCTCGACTCATCGCAACCTCTGCCTCCTGGGTTCAAGCAATTCTCTTGCCTCAGCCTCCCGAGTAGTTGGGACTACAGGCACATGCCAGCATGCCCAGCGGATATTTGTACTTTTTGGGGGGAGGGGAGCGATGGAGTTTCGCTCTTGTTACCCAGGCTGGAGTGTAATGGCGCAATCTTGGCTCACTGCAACCTCCGCCTCCTGGGTTCAAGCAATTCTTCTGCCTCAGCCTCCCGAGTAGCTGGGACTACAGGTGCGTGCCACAATGCCCAGCTAATTTTTTACTATTTTTTTTTTTTTTGAGAAGGAGTTTCACCCCTGTTGCCCAGGCTGGAGTGCAATGCTGCGATCTCGGCTCACCGCAACCTCTGCCTCCTGGGTTCAAGCAATTCTCTTGCCTCAGCCTCTCGAGTAGTGGGACTGCAGGTGCGCGACACCATGAACAGCAAATTCTTGTCCTTTTTTGTTTGTTTTTGAGACAGAGTTTCGCTCTTGTTACCCAGGCTGGAGTGCAATGGCATGATCTCGGCTAACCGCAACCTCCGCCTCCTGGGTTCAAGGAATTCTTCTGCCTCAGCCTCCCGAGTAGCTGGGACTACAGGTGTGCCCCACCATGCCCAGCTAATTTTTGTACTTTTTTATTTTTCATCCTGATTTTGTTTTATTTTGCATTTCATATATTATCCAGTTTCACATTCTCACAGGATCAGCTATGACAACAGCCACCTCACTCCCGACTCTGAAATGGCCAGACGGTCACAGCTGCGGCTGACAGTAAAGCACTGATACGCTCAAAACAAAAAACATTGCACAACGTTTCCTTCATTTCATTTTCTTTTTTTTTTTTTTGAGACGGAGTTTTGCTCTTGTTACCCAGGCTGGAGTGCAATGGCGCGATCTCGGCTCACCGCAACCTCCGCCTCCTGGGTTCAGGCAATTCTCCTGCCTCAGCCTCCCAAGTAGCTGGGATTACAGGCACACACCACCGTGCCCAGCTAATTTTTTGTATTTTTAGTAGAGATGGGGTTTCACCATGTTGACCAGGATGGTCTCGATCTCTCGACCTCGTGATCCACCCGTCTCGGCCTCCCAAAGTGCTGGGATTACAGGCTTGAGCCACCGTGCCCGGCCTCATTTCATTTTCTTAAACAAATGCCTGACACAAAGGCTTACTGCTGAAGAAAGAAAACCATTTTCTTCTTCATGCCTCAAACTAAACATTAAACTTATCTGGCAGGGCAAATGAGGTCTCTTTAATAATTAATTGTACACACATGAAAAATCCTTTATGATGCATAAATATTTTGTTACACGGTACAAAATACTTTTCACAGTCTGGTTGGTTTCCAGGTTTTGAAGAAACACGGAGCAGTGGCGGGCGGGGTGCGCTGTGGAGAGGTGAACAGGATGGGTGGGGGGCTGGTCCAAGAAGACAGCAGCAGAGGAGCTCAGTGTGAAATGAAAAGCAAACCCCATCTATCTGTTGGGTGGAGGTGGGAGCTGAGCCTGGAAGCGCATGGGGCCACAGGGCTTGGGGCCTCCCTGAAGTGGGGTGGGTGCAGGGGCAGGGTGAGGAAGGGCCAGGCAGGATGAACCATTGGAAGCCAGGACCTGCCGCTATGGTGACAGTGTGAGAACAAACTGTACACTCACATATACACAAGTGTAAGTGTCTTCATTCATGCCAGAAAACATGCAAAATCAAACACCTTGCTTTCTCCAGGGGGAGCTGCAGAATCAGATTTGGGCAGAAGGTCAGGCCTTGCCGGTCCCCGTGAGGCCTCTGAGCGGGATCTGGATGCCCCAGCGAGAAGGTCCCTAAATCCTCCTGGGAGGCATTGGAGAAAGGCTTGAGGGTGCAGAACAGGGCTGAGGAAGAGGAGGGAGGGGAACAGGAAGCAGTCCACTGAGTCAGGCTTAGGATTCACAGTCTCTGGAGGGCAGCAGCAGCTCTGTACAGGCCGCCTGGGGGCGGTGGGAGCTCAGGGCGCCTGCCCCGGCACCACCAT